TTAAGTAAACAGATGGTATTAAATAAGAAAATATCTATCTCCAAGGCAGATATCTTAATATCATTTTCTGCAGGAATTTAAACATATTAAGGGGGCATTGACTCCTAAAGTTGTTTCGGGTAATAATTTTCATCACCTCTATTTACATTTCCTTTTACCCCCACAACAATAAGGATAAGTAGATACAGAAATTGTTTGTTTTATATACATATATAAAACAATTGTGTATGTATATAGATATAAAATTCCCACTGCTCTGAATCTTGCTAGGAAACTTTCCTAGGAGTAGTTTTTGCTCACAAGCTTACAACCACCTGAAGAAAAGGTGGAGCTGAGATGTTTTCTAGGGGAAGATGTTATACTAGCAGTTCCCAACCTTTTTGGTACTAGGGACCGGTGCTCCTATGAGAATGTAATGCCTGATGATCTGAGGTGGAGCTGAGGCAGTGAGGCTAGCCCTGGGGAATGGCTGCAGACATAGATGAAGCTTTGCTAACTTGCCTGCTGCTCACCTCCTGTTGTGTGGCTTGGCTTCTAACAGGTTACGGACCAATGCCAGTCCGCAGTCTGGAGGTTGGGGACCCCTGTCATAGTTTCTACCTGTGATAGGCTGAAAATGGCCCCAAAGATACCAGGTCCTAATCTCTGGAGCCTCATCTGCAAAAATGGTTTTGTTGGATTTAAGTTAAGGGTTTTGAGAGGGGAAGAGAATCTTGGATTTTCTATATGGGCCCTAGATGCAATCACAAGTGTCCTTATATATGAGAGGTAGGTGTAAAATTGAATACAGAGAAGAGGAGAAGGCAGTGTGAGCAATGAGATGGAGATTAAACTGATGTGGCAATAAAGCAAGGAATACCAGTAGGCAGCAGAAGTTGGAAGAGGCAAGGAGCTGATTCTCCCCTAGAGTCTTTAGAGGAAGATTGGCCTGCTGCCATCTTGATTTCACCCCAGTGATACTGATCTTGAACATCTGGAGTTCAGAACCTTGAGGGAATACATTTCTTTTGTTTTAAGCCACCAAGTTGGTGGTAATTTGTTACAGCAGCTGTAGGAGACATATATACATTACTGTTGTCTGCTTCCACAGTGGGAGATTTAATCTTGAGATATTTTTTGTCAAGGCTTCTTTGACAAGTAAATAAAATAATTTGGAAGGAGATCATTTTGAGAGGTATTTAGTTCATTTATTTGGAAAGATGAGTGTAGAAGTGTCATTGTCCTTCATATTTATTTTGTTAACTGACTTTTTTCTGGCTTTGTGGCTTCTATTTCTGTCTTACATTTTATTAATTAACTGCACTTTGATATGTGACACATATGTTTGTAAAATAGCATTTATAATAGGAATAATTGGACAAGAGAATACTTCCATAATGACTTATCTTGATTTCAAGACATCTTTTAAAAATATTTGAAATAAAAATAACAAGCAATTTGAATGCATAATTGTGATTTTATAATAGGTTTAGCTCTAGAATAATGAATATAAGTCATTAATTGAAAGTTAATTGGTAACATTGGCAAAAATTTATCTCATATTTTGGATATTGCATGCTTCAGTTGTTATCTAGTGTACATTTGGGATTTATTTTCACCACACCTCTGGGTTTTATACTGTATTAAGTTAGGAAGAATATTAATACTGCTGCAGAACAATTACTTGTTCATTTGCTAAGTGATTAAAATTCATGCATAATTTATTGAAATGAATAGAAATTTTTATAAATAAGCCTCCTTGCTCTCAAGGGCCAAAAAAACAAAATACATATGCTAATATAAGGCTGCTTTTTACCTCCAATGTAAAAAATTTAGTATGTAGTGATATATTAGTTTCATTAATGCTAAGTTTCACTTCTTATAATCATGCTGTTAATCAATGTATGTGCTTCTAAGCCTCTCTAAACCTCGTCACAGTTCCAAATAGGAGGTGCTGCTTCGATTTCTGGACCGTCCCTTTTGTTTACTTGACCTATAATTCAGACTGAATTATTGTGTTACTTCAGGCCAAGAACTTGACATCAAACTGATTTCTTCATATATACAAAACACTAATGACGAATGTTAATTTTTGGTTTTAAAATTTATATGCTCTCAGGTAAAACAAAACAAAGCAAAATAGCATCAAATAGAGGGTTTATTGACATATTTAGAAATGTGGATGGAGTCTTCTAAAATTCTTAAAATAATTCCTAGTTTATCAATGAAGAAATTATAATACCAAGAAGTTAAATAATATATTCAAGTTTATCTAGCTATTAGTGTATGCATTTTTTAAAACTAGATCTGACTTTAAATTTCATGTTCTTTTCTGTGTCATTCTCTTAAAGATAGAAATGATAGAAGAAATATTATGCTTTACTTTTTCATTTGTTTGTAACTTTTTTTTTTTTTGGTAGCTTTTTCTCTTTCCTTTCTCTGTCTCTCATCTGCTGTTCTCTTTTGTTTTCTCCTATTTTCTGTAGCAGTGGTGTGTAGAGTTTTGATGGGTGAGATTTAACATTCAGTATTTACTCATTAGGTCAAGTTTCAGAATATCCATAAGTTTATAGATTAACCAAGGCTTGCTACTTATAATTTATTGGATAAATCATTTTATCATGCTAAATATCAGATATTTTCAGGTTGTTGTTCAGCTGTGATGTGAATGAGCCATAACTGCTCTGCGGTAGAACAGCAGAAAGCTATGAGTTTAGAACAGCAGAAAGCTGAGTTAAGTTTTATTTCCTATTTAAACAAGTCAGTATATGAGCGATGTGGCATGAAAACAAACATTGCAAATGTGAGGTGACTTAGTTTATTTGCAAATTATAGACTTTTTAAAATATGTGCAACATTTAGTCTGCATAGATTTGCCTTTATTATGTTCATTTCTTTATTCAGTTTCATTTTAGTTTAAGGATTAGAAAATATATCAGCTTTCTCTTGCTCTCTATCAAAACTTTTACATACTAAAAATATAAAAGATGCCAAACTGGTAAAATTTCTTCATCGAAATGTCTAGCTCTATCTTTCTTTAGCTGATAATTGAAAATTCTAAAGTATTTTTGGTTTTACTTGAACTTCTTTTGTGAGTAACTTCTCAATTGAAGTCAGTTGTGAAATTGGAAATAGTTCACCCTTTACACAATTTTTAGTTTATTGTTGAAACGATTTTTTAACTATAAGATAAAAGATTTTATAAAGTTTATAAATCAAGTGTTAGCTACTTTTCCAAACCAATAGAAATAATTCTAAACATAATCAGTTTATATAGCACATATATTATTCGATCCTAATTTTGTTTTCACTTTAAACATGAGCATAGTGAGAGACAAGTTCATATGGTACTACTGTTAAGCAGTTTGAAAGCAGTACCACACTGAGCCATGACTAATGACAGGAACAATATTTGTCCAGTGATTTTAGATTTACAAAGGGTAACTCACTAGTTACCTCCAACTGTTATTATTTGTCACAGTATGTTTGTTTTCCCCATAACTCTCAATTTTATGTATATGGTATATATAATGAATTTGAAAAAATAATAAAACAGTGAATTTGTTTATTGCTAGTATGTTTCCCTTGCCATCTTATGTGAATAACCAAAGTGTCGAACCACCTCACAATTAGTAGTTGCTCAGTAAATATTTGTCACATGGAGGAAAATTGTTGAAAAAAGACTTTAGCCTGTTTAAATATCTCAGAGGTACACAAGGTGGAAACTATATTTTTATAAAATCAGGGATTAAAGCCAAATCCTAGGCTATAGCTGAAAACCCTTCTTTCATTTCAACCTGTATCAGAAGGTAAAACCTGTCTATAGGCTTTTTTGCATTGTACCTTTCTCCAAGCATGCATTGCCATTGAAATAGAAAATTCATTTTGAGCTATATTGGCTATCCTTAACTTTCCTCTATCTGCATTTTCTCCAGTCCACCCCTGCTAGAGATATGGGGTGGGTTGTGTAGTTGTATTTAATAGTTTTCCTTTATATGATTTGATTTTGCTCTTTAAAAGAAAAACACTTTACAATAATTTTGGGGCAGTTACCACTTTATTTAGGTTAATAACACTTTAAAGTCTTTTGGCTCTCTTAATATGTATTCTTCCAGACATTCAGAGAAGTCCCTACTTGATCACAAAATAGTAGAACATCATGACATAACACTTCCAGTGGACAGACTGTGTGGACAGAACTAGAGCTGTGAAGGCTTTTATAAGTCCAGTATCAGATTTCAGCTACATTGTTGTTAAGGAAAAAAAAATAATAATCACCATTTCTGTAAGTTTACACATGAAAATAATTTTTCCTAAAGTTTCTTTCAAGCAAGATAGCTAAGTTATCAAAACTTAAATTGTTGTGAACCTTTGATATTTATTTGAGTTTAATATTTAATGCATTGCTTTATCATGTGCTACTCCCAAAGGCCAGTCATACATAGTGATTTGTGATTTTGCCTCAGTGTAAATTTTAATTTCTATACTGTGAGGTGGGTATGTAGAAACAAGTCAGCACCTAGCATCACCTTCTGAGTTCTGCTTTGCTGTGCCTTCCCCTATTTTCCATCAGCAGGATCTCTGCAGAGGTAAAAAACAAAGCAAGAACAAAATACCACATAGCCATATTTCATGAATGAAATAATGATAGAAGTATTCATTAAAGGTCTTAGCACCACAAGAAGGTCAAATATCAATGGTGCTCTGTTAGTAGCTAATCAGAGCTATCCATCTCTAAATATTTTCTTTTTATTTCACATGTTTACTGTGCCTTTACAAATTTATTTCCTGGAGAGGCATGTTTTTAATAAGAGAAAACTTGATAAAAGGTCATATTCCATCTGTGAAAGCATTTGCTCTTTAATTTTACAGTTGCTAGACCACTCATGTCCTGACTTTCTTTTAAGTATTTATTATGTATTACTAACTAAATTATTTAGTAAGCCTTTAAGCTTTGAGAGACATTAATTTATCCATATGTATTGTGTGGATTAATTAGGTTGCACGTTCATCTCTCCTAGAGCCACCAAGACCCATTGCTCCTCCCCAGCTGCTTGGCGTTGGGCCTACATATTTGCTGATCCAGCTAAATGCCAACTCCATCATTGGTGATGGTCCCATTATCCTGAAAGAGGTGGAGTACCGAATGACATCAGGTTCCTGGACAGAAACCCATGCAGTCAATGCTCCAACTTATAAATTGTGGCATTTGGATCCAGATACAGAATATGAAATCCGTGTTCTACTTACAAGACCTGGCGAAGGTGGAACGGGGCTCCCAGGACCTCCACTAATCACCAGAACCAAATGTGCAGGTAAGAGTGAGTAGCAGCAGGCCACTCTGCCTAGTGACAAAATCTAGCACAAAACATATTATATGTCTGTGCTCCAACTTATAAATTGTGGCATTTGGATCCAGATACAGAATATGAAATCCGTGTTCTACTTACAAGACCTGGCGAAGGTGGAACGGGGCTCCCAGGACCTCCACTAATCACCAGAACCAAATGTGCAGGTAAGAGTGAGTAGCAGCAGGCCACTCTGCCTAGTGACAAAATCTAGCACAAAACATATTATATGTCTGTGTGTGTGTGTGTGTGTTTGTGTGTGCGTGAGCACGCGTGCACGTGCATGTGCGCATATATGAGAGAAACTACTGAAAGTTCTAATTATTTGTTATATGATGTACTCACACTATTTTGAGAATTCTAGTGCCTCTGGTAAATTGTAGCCTTGGTTATGTCATAATTTGACTGATTTAGGAGCAGTATGAGTGTTTATTATTATTCAGTATTATTTTTGTATCCATAATCTTTTCTTACACTGTAATTTTGCTCAACTTGCTTTTATTCAGTCCATCTATCTCTGATAGATGCTGGTGAATGTATTATTGAGAGAGCAAACCTTTGCAGTTCAAGCAAATGCTGAGTACCTTTCTGTGATATGGAAATTGTCTTCCTCGATAATTCTGTTATAGTCAGTTCTGAGGCCATATCTGATAATGTAGATAAGAGCTGTTACTCTGAACCTAGCCTCGGTGAGACAGCTTTCTATTTAGAAAGTCCTGTCGTTGAGGATTAAGTGAGCAGCTTGACAGCCAGCTGTAGAACACAGAGAGGCATTCCTTATGTTTTTAAACCTTGTTATTGCCCTCTCCTTGCCTGAATCATAGTGGTGAAACTAATAGCATATGGATAAACCACCAAAAAAGAATAAAAAGTGAAATAAAAAGTAATGTATAAACATATATCTTAGTTTCTTATTCTACCATATTGTTCTAATGGAAGAAATTGTTAGCTATTTATTAAAAGCCACTGAAATTTTGATCATTTAAGTTATTAGAGTACCCTCTTTTAGTACATTGTTATCGAAAATAGTTTAGTTAAAAAAAAGACATTTTTAATCCAGCAAGCATTATAACACCTGCAGAGTTAGTACATAAATCTATACATCTTGAACATTTAATGACTTAGGTTCTGAAAATTGAAAATTAAGACCGTGAGGATCTATGAAAATGTAAATGCCTGTAAAAGTCTTTTGTTTCTTAAACATCTGTTTAGCATTTATAATATTTTGTGGCTACCTACAAAGAATACGAATCTAAATTTAAAGCAAAACCAATGTAATTATTGCCATCATTAAATATTTTTTAACCTGGCTCAATTTTAAATATTAATGTTTACATATTAATTATATATTTATATATCTTATATGTTAATATTGAAAGATTTTCACCAATAAAAAGTTTAACTGCTCAACCGTTACTCTCAATCATTAGTCTGAGATTTAGATAATAGCAAGTCCAAATCTGCTGACTGGTATCATACATTGATCCTGGGGTTGAAAATCAGCTTAACCTAGAAGATATTGGGTAAATCTCCATGGCTCAGCCTAAATCACACAATTGCTTTTCAAATTATCTGTACTGCTAAGTCTTTTCATTTGAGGTAATGTTGACAAATTGCTGTCATTGTAATAAATGTATTTTCTAAGGGAGAGACAAGTTCACTCCACAGCCTCAACCAGTCAGAGAAGTAATTTAAAGAGGAGACAGTGTGGAAGCTAAGAAGTTGCTCACTCTGTCTTCCAAAATGAATATCTCATCCTGATAGAAAGCAGTGAATGGTAGGTCCATTTTATTGAGGGTATTGCCTACATGTTTTTCTAATAAAAATCTGCATTTAATTTTTTTAAGTACCTACAAATTAAAATAATGAATGGTAATTTACTATTCCAGTGGTCTTCCTCATGACTTCCTGTGCCCAAACTTCTTTCTTTTCAGTATCTCGTCTGCCTTCTTACTTTTTTATTTTCATCAAAATAGACCATTAAAAATTGAGAGTATCGCACAATGTATTAATATAATGTAATCTTTGTTTAACCTAGGAATTATTTAATATCAGTTCTTGGTGTGAGGTCCGATGGAGATTGCAAGTAAATGGGGCTTTGTTTTAAAGGTAGTTGTGCTGTATTAAGTGGATAAAAACAACATATTAATGATTAATTTATTTCTATTGAATAGTTATATTCACAATCCATATAATGCATATTGAAATACAGTAAAAATATGACTAGAAAGTGTTTTTAGGTATTTTATTTAAAGAATAATTTTATCTGTGGGAAGGTTAGAGTAAAAATAACTTACACTCACAGACACTTTTGGAAGTATATAGGTCTTTTTTTCTGATTCATTATTTGAGAAACATTTAATTTGTGGGCTGTGTAGCATAAAATGGTATCAGCCTCACTCACAGTTTTGCTTACAACTTTAGAAAGTTTATTTGTTTTTACAGCTATTTTTTACATGTGAGTCTTTGTCACCTCCGTTTATTAATTTATTGATGTCCTCATAAGTTGTATTTGATGCAGGTTTTTAGGTTTAAAAAAAGGTGCTTATAGACTAGATTTTCAAGTACATTATAGATTTGAAAGAAATTGGGATTACTGGTTTTTTTTAGGAATGTCTATTAATTCCTAATGGAATGTCTGCTCTACTATTACAAAAGGAAGTAAAGCTTATGGAAGTACATATTTATTGATTTTTAAATAATCTCTGAAAAGCAGAAGTTGATTACAACTGATAAACATTGAATATCTAAATACAAAGTCAGTCTTGATTAAAATTGTGATGTCCATCTCCTCCCTTCTTCAAGATCCATTTTCCTTTCTCCAAATTTAAAATCCTTCAGACTTTACCAGCATCATCACTGGCCTCAGCCTGTTGTCCTGTAACAACAAAATACAACACAACTTAGGCTAACTATGATTTTAGCTGATTTTAGTAAAATTTCAAAAGCCAAAAATTCTTCATAATCTTGGGATTTGATTCCTGTGAAACCTTTGGAGAAATTTCCATCTAATTCTATTAAATTGTGTAAGCTCTGAACACTGTTTTGCAAATTATTACATTTTAATCAAGACTGGGAGAATGCTACACTGTAATTCTAGTGTTATACTATTAAGATTATCCGATTGAATAAATGTTTATTATCTTGAAATAGCTATTTTAGTATATTCTACACGTTAGACCACCAGGAAGCCTTAAAAATAAATACAGAAACTTAGCTGTGCATGTGTCTGATATCGATTTCACATTAATTATTTATAAATAACAAAGGAATGATGATTATTTTCTGTCTTTCGGAAATTCTTATTTTATTTTGGTATAACATAGAGGAATAATTTTTTGTTATTAAGTACCAATCAAAGAGTAAATTAGTTATTATTTACTATGTTACATATTTCAGTTTAATATACTTAAGCCACCGAAATTTTATTTCTGGCAATAGTACTTTTTTTTTTGACAGAAATCTGTCAATAAATAATTTTAGAGCAAGTTAATTAAATGGTTTTATTCATGTATTTCGATGAGTAAATTTTAAATTTCAACATGCAAATGTAGAGTTCCATAGTTAAGTATTGCTTAATACTGCTTTATAATCAGCATATGAAGTGAATCTATCACATTTTATTTTCATATCAGCCCTGTGAGTTAGATATATTATTATCCCAATTGTGTAGCTCATGAATCTAAGACTCAGGAAAAACAAAACAAAAAGAACACTGTATTGTCTAACATCAGACTACTTGGAGGCTGGTGCTCAAACCAATTTTCTGAAAATTGCTTTTTACTTGAAAAGCCTGAATTATTTTCCCTCTTTCTCCTACTATAGGTGACTTTTTTTTTTTCCCTTTTCAGAAGAGTATAGCATACATAAATGAAAGTACAACAGGTAAAAGCTGGGAGGGATATGCGTTTTTAAAAATAGTACCTGCACAGCTAACTTATTTCCTGAAAAAATATAGCTTAATGTTCTCAACTTCACTTTTATTGAAAGCACAATTTATTAATGTGCTTAACACTCAAATATATGCTGTGCGTTAAATATTTTAAAGTTAAAGAAGTGTTAAAAAAAAAAACGGTTTTACTTTATACTCTTCTGAAAACGTCCTACCTAGTTGCCAAGCTATTTTTTTTTTTTTTTTCTAAAGTACATTAAAATCGTTTGGCGAGTTCAATTACCTGCTTCAGGGTCTCTCGAGTTAGGAGAGGTGGCAATTACAGCCTCTGGTGGCTCTAGCCACCTATGCTTGCCTGAGGGGTATGATTATTTCATTCTTAGCTTACAGCCTGACCCATGTTATTGTTCACATAATGCTTCTTTAGGCATTGTATAAATTTTTAAAAAGATAAAAATGTAAAGTTGTCTTAAATGGGAAGTATTTCACAAACTTCATTAAAAAAAAGTACTTTTTTCCCCCCTTCCCTCTGTGTCTGTTTCTCCTGGGTATACCATCTGGTATCAAAGCTAAGAAAATAGTTTCTCTTTCTCTTATTAAATGGAAATAAAATATGCCATCATCAGAAATTGTCTGCATTGCATGCTTTGGCAATTACATGTCAAAATTGCTCTTTTATACTGTCTTCTGCTTCTGGATAACCCATTGTGGCACTGCTTTATGATTAACTGACATTTTAGCAGCATATCTCTCATAGGGAAGGTCAAGAGTTCGAGTTGTCTAGAATGTAATATATTTACACAGTTGGGAAAACTGCTTTCTACTCTTATATTGAAGTTCAATGCTCTTGGCAATTTTCAATGAAACATGTAGATCTATGAAGCAGTGAAAAGGAGAGTGTCTAATTTTAAATGTAAACATTTACTAAAAATGCATTTTCCTCTCCTAAATTTAAAATTAAGGAAACAAAACAAAGCAAAACAACACTCAGTCTTATATCAGAAACCATAAGGTGAGGAAGTAAATTTTGGCCTTATGGCTACAGCTTCTTCAGCAAAATGGAACCATATATCGATTTTTACGGTGGTCAAGATAGTTATCAATCACAAAGGCTAGGTATCATTGTAACTCAGCCATGAGGTTAAAACAAAATAAGCGACTCTTTTAAGACTTTGGATGGATTAACAGTGTAAGGATAACATACTATTTGTTTTAAATTGAAGGCTTGTATCAATACTTGTTTTAAAATTTTTTGAAATGTGTTAATTTCTTATT